GGTTTTAGTTACCTTGAGATTAGGTACTAGAGAAATGGAGAGCCTTTAGCATATATACGTCACAATGCGCAGTAATGACTTCTTCATTTACATGTCTTTGAACTGTTTAAGGGAAAGGATGGATGGTATCTTATTCACCTTTGAATCCCCAGCATCAATGATAATGCCTGGAACCTAGTAGAAATCCCATGAATATATACTCTGCAATGAGTAAAGATGTTTTTTGATCATATATGGCCTCAAAGGCCATTTCCTGCCCCAAATCTGCCGACATACTTTAGTCTTCATCTGGTTTATCTCAGTCTCTGTTTATCAACTACCAAATAACAATAACTAGGACCACCTATGTAAAAAGGATGAATGAAAACATGCCATACATGTTGAGAAAAGAGACAAAAATATGATTCTCCTTGCCCTAGGAATATCAAAAGCTGAACAACTTACCATTCAATTACCAATTACAACATCAAAAACATTTTTTTTTAAGAGAAAGTACTGGATAAGCAGAAGCCCCACAGCACTCCCATTTGTGTTTCATAGAGCTCCAAATTTTAGTTTGATTCCAGGCTCTGCCCATTTCTTGCTTTTGTAAGTTCTGAAAAGTCAATTACTCTAAATACAATCTGCAACCTTAAGAGCTGACACTTTGCCGAGTAATTTAAAGAGCTTTCCTAAGAAAAATTTTCAACTCTGTTTTCTTCTAGATGATGTAACAGAAGTAATTCTGTATACAATTAATTCACTCCTGGATGTTTGCTATCAAATCAAAGTGCTGAAAATTTGGGTATTCTGACTGAAAGGCACAGAATAGAGACGATTGGCTCTCCTTGCTTCTGCTGACTGGCTTCCATTCCTCTGAATGCTGATTAGGGATTAAGCTGGTGCACATGTAAAGGTGGTTTCACATGCTAACTTTCACAGAGCTGGTTTATATTCTAATCTGAGACAGTAACTGTCCTATCAGTAGGTGCATGCTTCTGAAATAGACTGGGGGAAATTCTCTAGAACTTATATAGAGATATATATCTCTATATATCTGTATATATAGAGATATATATCTCTAGAATATATATATTCTCACACACACATATATAAATATATATTTATATATTATTTATTATATGTAACACCATATGTATTATATAATATATATAATCACATATTGCAACTTAAAGGTGAGGCATTTTTTCAACACTTTGGATGGGCTTTTTTAGTTTATACCTTTGTAAAAAGTTTCCCTAGTATGGTACCTTGCACTTTATCAGTGCTTGATAAATCTTGGTTGGATGAAATGAAAGATATATTCTTGTAATATCCTGTTGAGGGCAGAAGATCCCCAATATTTGTATTTTATTAGAAGTATGCATTACACTCATGAAGACAGTGACTTGAGTTCTTGATCATTACAGAGTTGAATAAGGGCTTGTCCATCTAATTCTAAGTTTTCGGGTACCTCTAAGGTTCTATAGATTATTTAAGGTCACAGTGGAAAAAGCAAGTGACGGTGTTATAAATGGAACTAGAACCGTTGAACTTTACCCCTGAATTATCTATCAGCTGCATTTCAAGAAATATCTGCTCGGAGTGGTATTTTCCACTGCAGAGGAAATAAATCTCTGAAAGGAATTACTCAGTTTTCATGAATAACGGACAGTTACCTAATGAAATGATAATGTACTGACTATTGAGATAATATAAGGTGAAAGTGCAGTAGAAGAAGTGAGCTCTAGTCTGCTGTTCTTTGTTTCAGTGTACAGATTCATCCACTCCTAGGGCTATTTTATGTACCCATAAGACCTGAATAAAGCACAGTTTTAGCCATCATGTGTTCCTGAACAAGGATCTGTCTGCTGGTCTGCAGATCTTATTTCCATGTTTATCTAGTTACTCAAGAGTTTTGAGCTGCTATTGGGCCAGAAACTATGCTAAGTGTTAGGGGTTTAGCAGTGCACAGAGCAGACACAATTCCACCTGGTGAGCTTACAGCATCGAGTGTGAGACAGGAGTTTGGTTTTAAAAATCATATAAATAAATATATAATTATAAATTGCTTGAGTCTTATGGAAAAAAAAAAGAGAGACACTATAATAGGGGACCAGATTTTCTTTCAGGGAGCTTCTCTGAGGAAGTGCAATTTAAGCTTTCATCTAAGATGACCAGAAGTTAACCAGGCAAAGTGTAGTAAGAGCTTTTCAGTTTGGGGAAAGAGCATGTGTGACGCATCTGAAATAGGTAGAGGTTTAGTGCATTTTGTGAATGTGAATAGTGTGATCAGCAAAGGGAGGAGTGAAATGAGGTGTTTAAGAGGCAGGCAGGGGCTAGGTCATGCATAGCTTGGATGCTATATTAGTGACTCTGCATTTTATACTAATGCAAAAGAAGAGAGAGATGTGATCTGTGTTTTTAACAGATCACCTTGGCTGCACTGAGAATAAATCAGGAGGACAACAATGGAAGTGGTGAGACCATTTAGGAGGCTACTGTAGGTGGGAGATAAGGGAGGCTTGGGTTCAAGTGCTAAAAATAGAAGTAGAGAGGAATAAATAGATTGGAGATACATTTTGGAGGTAGAATCAATAGGACTTGCAGACAGACTGAATGATGGGTGTGAGAGAGAACAGGTGTTAAGTATGATTCTCAAGTTTTGGCTTGAGGAATGAGGTAGATGAATGTGCCATTTACTGAGCTGAGAAAGTGTGGAAGGGGAGAAAAGTGGGGTGCAATCAAGAACTTCAGTATCAGTGTATTGTCACAATGTCACTAAAATGTGTATATATATGCATATGTATATGTGTATATGTGACTTTTTTTTGAAGTGAGGGATAAAATAGGAAGAAAAACAAAAGAAGGGGACAGAATTAGACTAGAAAATAGAATTCCCAATCGGGTGATGGAGGGTGAGAGTTGGGGACTGGGGCATATCAGGATTGCTGAAGGTGTTAATCTGAAACAGACATATTCAACATTATACCATATGTATTTTTTTAATTCGGGAAAAACAACAACAACAAAAAAGAAACCCCATGGTCTTCATAATACAAATTACAGAAAGTAAACTGCAAAAGGATTGCATCTGGTAAATCCACACAGGAGGTAGATTCTACCACTGCTTATTGGTGAGTTTTAAGAGAGAGATGCATCAAAATCTCTAGCAGGATGCAAGGAATGCAACTTTTAGATTCATTAAAAAAAGAGCATGGGTTTTTGACATTGAGCCTGAAGGGAGATGAGAAGGTAGGATAAAAATAGAGAAAGAAGAGAAAAAATGAAATGGGTGGAGAATTTTTCCAGCAAGCAAAGACGTCTCTGTCATCATGCCTCTACTGATGCAGGGGCTAATGATCTCCTGGGTTTGAGTCCCAGCCCTGCCACTTACTAGTGGACGATCTGGGGCCTTTCAGGCAACTGCTAAGCCTCAATTTCCTTACTTGTAAAATGAAGATATCGATAACATCTACTTCATAAGGTGACTGTCAGGGTTACAAGATATTCATAAGAAGTACTTAACAAAGTGCCCGGCACAGAGGAGAGCTCAGTAAGTGTTAGGTGACTTTGAGTAGCTGATTATAGATGCCTGAATACCAGGAAGTCATTATTGTAGGTGTGTGTGCACCTTCTGCTTCCCTATGGCTATGGTAATTTTGCCTTCTTAGCTTCAAAATTGAATAGTCTGCTGTATCAAGAAGTAGCTTTTATGATTTGTTAAAAATATAAAACATTAATTAATATTTATGAAGCATTCTAAAATGCTATTAGGCTTTAATTGTTGCAAATTAGTGAAAATGCCCCAGCTGATTACATGGCCAAAAATATGTTTTCTCATGTATTTCTAGAAATGTTATGTATAATTAAAATTTGTTATTTAACTCCTCTAGAAAGGCCAATAATTGACTTTTAATTATTTCTTTGAAAATATGAAAGAAAAACAGAGATGATGTTCTAAGGAGACCCTTTTGATATAACCATTTCCACCTTGAATCATTTTAAAATCTATATTTTCTTGACCTTAACAGTATTATGGAAACATATGAAGGTATTCTATCTGAAAACATAACCAGATAAGCACCTCATTATATGTAGGAACATCATGATTGAGATCTCCTGGTTTAAACGGAACTGGAACTACCTTATGGAACACTACATTCTCCTTTTATTGCTCTCCTCTCTCTGTGACTTTTGCTATTGTGTAAAGATGAGGTTTTATTATTTAGCATACATATTCTTCAGAATACTGATACAGAATCATATTCAATCTTTAGTCCTAGAATTATTTGTTTACAGAGTTGTGGAAAGACTCAAAACATTCTAAGTCAAATCTGAACTTGGCATTTATTGGCGATATCATACCAAGGGCAATGCCTTAATTTCTTTGAAGCCTTGTTTTCTTATATAAAATGGGAGTAACTACATAAAGAGAACATGGTAAAAACCTACTGTGATAACATACCATAAAGGTTAAAATTCTTTGTGGTTAGATAGAACCAGCTAATGCTGTAGTTTTGGGCAAGTTGTTTAATACCTTAAGGAGTCAACTAAGTAGTGGTATTAATTTAATATTTTGATTAAAATATTAAATGGCAATAATAGTACCTACTTCTTAGGCTATCTTATACCTGTAGAATAGTAGTGATTATTAAATATTATTCAAAAATGTACTGAGTACATGCTCTTTTATCCTTCTGTACGAGGGAAATAGTGCTAATTAAATTCCAAGATTAATTCTTCTGGAAAAATATAATTAATACCTTATTAAAAATGCATGGGAACCAAGAACATTTGGAAAATCATGTGATCATGTCCAAGTACTCTGTGATCACACTAGGAAGAGAAACAAAAAGGCAATGTTCTTAATTTCTCCCATTGCACCAAAGAAGCAGAACATCTCTCCACTGAGGAAGATGTCAAGTACAAGAGAAGTGAGCAGAGGTGGATTCTACCCATTCATCCTTGTGGAAGCACATGCAATTCGAGAAGACGAAGCGAGGAAGCGCATGCAGTACCTGGTCATCTCAGAGTCAGGGAGCAGGCCTAGGTGGTAGTGGGGGTAGGGAGCTGAGAGAAGGAAGCTTTTGTCACACTCAACAGGGGAATAGTGCCTGGGAGAAGCAGGCTTATCACACAGTTTGTTCACAGTGCTGTAAACAGGTTCCGGAGGCCTGGTGACACAAGAGCAAGAGAGAGAGATGCACGGTTAGCGAACATACCCAACACCTGTGCAACTAGTTGCATTTCACCATATGCAAAAGTAAACACCCAAAACAATGTCTTAGGCTTTGTGAGGCTTGAAGAAAAAGTCTTTTTAAGAAATACTACCTCTGGCTAGAAATGAGAACTTTGGCTGATACTGGGAATGGTGAAAATTCAGATGCCTGACACCTCAGTGGAGTCATAGTCAACTTATAAACGCCATACCTTTTTGGATAATGTTGTTTTAAGTGCCAAACTTTGGGATCTTCTGACATGGTTCCTTTTTCAACTTTAGTCTCATCTTAAATGAAAGAGATGAGACCTTCCTGACCCCTTTAGCCAGGCCATCCTGTTATTTTTCACAGCACCCTGTCCATACTTCATAATATTTTTTTCTGAGCGTGAAATCATCTTGCTTGTTTTGCTTAATTTATAATTACCACTCTCACTCTGCCATAAATTTTCTGAGGACAGAAATTACATTTATTTTGTTAACCACTTAGAGTCAGTCCACATCCCATAAATATTTGTTGTATTCACATGTGAATGAATACACTGACAAAACTTCACACATTTGTGTAGCAATTTTTTGGGAGTGTTGGCCTTACCGAGAAGTCTAATTGCTTATATGATCTCAGTGATTCCCCTTTATATTTATTTATAAATCGCCACCCAACAATTAGTTTCAGAGAGTTTTCTACCAGGAGGATAATCACTTCGGTAAAATTTCTATTAAATGAATTAATCTAGAGATACTAAAACATTATCTAAAACAGCAACATCTTTTAGTTGTTATAAACATGCCTAGTAAATTTCAGTTATAACTTTTGCCAAACATGCACGTACTACAAAGTCCTTGGTTATTTAAAAAAAAAAAAATCTCACAACTCTGTACCCACTCTTTTTTTTTTTTTAAAGATTTTTTTTTATTTATTTATTTGACAGAGAGAGAGGGAACAGAAGCAGGGGGAGTAGGAGAGGGAGAAGCAGGCTCCCCGCTGAGCAGGGAGCCCGACGTGGGGCTCGATCCCAGGACCCTGGGATCATGACCTGAGCTGAAGGCAGACACTTAATGACTGAGCCACCCAGGCGCCCCTGTACCCACTCTTTTAACACATGGTCTGAAATTGTTACCAGTGTCTTCCATTTAAGGCAAGAATTGAAAGACCCAAATTCAAATGGAAGAACTCTCTGGCAGTCTGGGTGGGAACATAAGGAAAAGGTCAGGAAATAGGGCAATGACCAGACCCAGGTGAGGGAGAGAGCACCCCTTCAGTCCAGGAGACATCAGGGGCCGCAGTGGCGGCCATATCCCTGAGCAAAGATACAGGAAGTGTAGGTGGCGAGCTCAGTGAAGGCATAGTGCCGTGTTTCTGTAGCTCCCAAAGTGGTCCCCAGTGTTGCTCAGTCAATGCTTCTTGAACAGAGCAGGGGAGAAAAGAGGATAAGCAAAGCATTAAAAACAAACTTTACCTAAATTATAGTATTACCGTGGGCAGTCATGGCTTAGACACACTATCTAGAGAATTAGTTTCTTCCCTAACACAAAGCCTTCCATAACATAGCGAAAGATGCCTTGATTTGTTTGCTTTCTACAACACAGTAGAGAGCCTGAGGAGTGGACGGGAGGAATCCAGAGGCTTATTTCGTCATCCAAATAACTATCTCAGTGCTAAGATGAGGTGCTTGATAATGGAGTTGGCTTGTTCTATCCCAGTGGCTAATAAAATAACACTGACAAGAAGATTTTTAAAGTTTCTTCAAATAGCCAATTTTTTCCCCCTCACTTTACGGAAGCTAGCATATATTCTTGTTCAGACAAGTGCTCCCTTTTCAGAAAAAAACCAAGTAAGTTTGTCAATTTCTGTTTGTCAATTATCTAGAATACACACAATTCATAATGATAAACAGCAGCCCTTAAAAAAGGCAGCTGTAAGATCATTTTACAAAAGTGTTTTTATCAGTTTTTCTAAGTAATTCACACTGTGTGAAGTGATGTAAAGGAAAGATGCTTTCAGTTATCCACTGAAATACATCTTTTAAAACTGTCAGATTTGATACTGTTCTTGATTTCTTTTTTGGGGGGGTCTGTTTTTGCTTTGTTAATAGACTCAGCTTTAGGAAGATTGATGTGTATTTCCATGGTTTTGGAGACAGAAAGACCCATGATGCCAATCTGATAAAGAAAATTGGCTTGGGAGATCATCATTTTGTCTGCACTGAAAACGGGGTTATCCACACAAGAACTCAGCTTGAAAAGGGCTTTGTATTAATGAGATACATAAGTATCAATTAAATAAGATATGAGGAGGAATGTGTGAGCTCTATGGGAATTTTTCTGCATAAGTGATCACAGGAGGACCTAATATTATTTTCCACATTTTCTGCTTATGATTGAGCTGCCGTGGCAGAAATGGCCAGAGATGGATCGCCTCCCAAACATCCATTTACTCCTTTTTTACTTATTAAGAGGAAGCCAATTTTCCACTAGTCACTTTTCCTGTAGTAAAACTATATTTCTCAATATCCCTTGTAGAACTTTATTTCTCAGTCTCCTTTGTAGGTAGATGTGGCCCACTGAAAACGTTCAGCCCAATGTAACTGGAGCACAAAGGTTTTGTGGGACTCCTCTGATGGCTGCTTAAAGGGGAGCTGACTTAGCTAGGACCCCTGTGATTTTGCTCTTTCCCATTTCCTCCCTTTGCTTACCTGGGACCTGGATATAATGGCTGGAGCTTCACTGGTCATCTTGGACCATGAAGCAACCTTGAGAATAAAAAGAAACAATACAGATAGGGGACCATAATGGTCACTGTGTCACTGATGATAAGGAGTGAAACTACGCCACTTGTGAACTTTCTACCTCTGGATTTCTTTGATGAGAGATAAAGTATGTTTATGCTAGTGTTTTTTTTTTTTTTTGTAAATGAGGCTTAATATTAACAGATAGACTACTGCAAGATGTAAGACTGATAATTGAATACAAAGAAATAACTACAGATGCGGCTACCAAAAGGGGCTAATACATTTAATTATGTTAGAGGTCCATCTGACACATTTTGTATACATAGAAAAAGATAAAGAACACTATTGTCTGGCTTTGTTGAGAGCCTGTGACTGTTCATAGAGAACTCACTGCATCTTGATTAAAAATATTATATATATAAAATGGTAACTGATTTAAACTGCCAGCACAGGGCTTAAGAATAAGGGAATTGATGACTTCTTTTAGGTCATAAAATATTCTCATGATGATGTCATTTCAGTTAACATCATGCTTTCTGCCTAGGAGGGCTGATTTAATTTTCTCAGGCTGCTGTTGATTTGACAGACCAAGAAAATGATGTTACCAATTTTCTCCTAGTCCTTTTACCTCAGTAGGACTATATTTTGAAACAAATTATCAGAATCAAACCTGGCTAATATGTATATTAAGGAAAAAAATCCTACTTGGATTGTACTCAATTAAACGAAGAGGAAAAAACTCTCTGAACACTACAATAAATTCAAGACAATAAAAATTAGGCCCTGTCCATTGTCCAGTGTTGAACTTAAGACCTCTGCCTATATCCTTTGGAATCATTTTATGGACATAATATTATTTCATGACTCATTTGTTTTAGTAGATCTGGTGTTGGGGCAGGCTTAGATAACTTGAATTTTAGAAGAGGGACCTTATATCTTTGCCTACAGTCACTTTCAAAACTTTTTCATGGTGGATTGATTTTGTGCCTAGGCTTAATCACTCATGATTCAAAGTCTGATCAAAGCAGAAATACACCTATTGAAACTGTAGGCTCATTTATACCTATCATTCAGTCTTTCATCCTTTATTTATTTACAAGTTATTTTGTACAGTCACTGACTATTGAGTGGACATTTCAAATTCAGCTGAATTGTGAGAACACTTGCTATCTCAGAAGACAGGTAGATGAAAAACACCAAAACATAACAGAACACTTGACAAACTTGACAGAACGTTTTTGCAATATTCACCATGTCCTCTTGCAAACAAACAACTAAATTAAAAATATCAGTGAGAGTGTCCTTCCAAGTGGCATAAAAATGGAGTTGATATTTGAAGATTTCTGCCTGCTAGATTCACTACGGTCCTAGGATTCTATTGTGTGTTACGTACTATATAGGCCATAGCACAATACCCAGTAAGTACTACAACAAGCTACAGTCTGAGAATAGGAAATAGCATGTAGTAGGTACTTGAGAAACATTTCTTGGAATAAATGGATTTTTTTTTTTAACTATTCTTCTTTGAGAGCAATGAAAAATTTCTGGCTCTTTCAAGGAAGCCCAAAATTCTGCTGAATCTTAAAACTCCATTTAAAATTTTAGGACATCATCAATTCTCAGGGGTTATCCAGAGGACAGAAACCCCAATGGTGTCAGAAACTACTCGCTTTAAGTACTAGGTGTGCATGGTTCACCCCCTCTCGAGGGCCAGGTTTCGTGCACCTGCAAGCCCGCCCACGGTTCCTGTGAGTCACTCCATGGGCTCTGGGCACAGACATAGCTCAGGCTTGAGTTCCAGAAGTCCTAATGCCAGAAATCAGCATTCTTAGTATTTCCCTGCAGTGATATTCTCTGTGACCTCTCCGCCAGACAGACAAGAAATGCCAATTTATGAGCTGTCACTGGGATCTGGGTGGCAGGAACAGATGCCACCATCACTTCACATTTATTCAGTAAAGAAGTGCCACGGGGAAATGACTTTAGGCAGTGTGAATCAGCCAGTCACAAACTGAAAGAGCCTGTTTATCCTACTATAAACCTCCAGAGTCGCCTGGGTCAGGAGGTAATGAATATGGAAATCCAGTTTGAGGTGCCTCCTGTCTCTCTTCTTTATGTAGATGCCCCCAGAAAGGGGGGAAAGGAGTTAAAGATTATGAGTGTAATCTCTAAGTGAATTTATAAACAAATCATTTATTTTGCCGTCCACTTATCAGGGGCCATA